AAGAAGAAGAAGAAGAAGAAGAAGAAGAAGAAGAAGAAAAAAGAAGAAAAAAAAATAATGAGTTCTCCTTGCAAAAACCGGCAACTTAAATCTTTGATTCAGCTCTAATTTTGTCAGGAAACTATTTTGTTTTCCTAAAATTAATCTGATGATGTTTCTGCAGTAGATACACACTGATTAACTGTGCCCGCAGCACAGGAAAAATATTTTTATAGACTTGACCAAATTAATCTTTTAATTAAAAAAAAACCACAAACCACTTTTGAAATTAGCAGCTAAGATCCAGTGAGCAAAGTCTTTTGCTGGAAGGTGGGAGAGAGACATGGAATTGCTCTATAGCCGCTCGGTTTTTCTGCCTTCCCAGAATTAAAATAAAGAAAAAATCCATTTATCCAGTGAGAATTTGATTAGTCCCTTCCCAACACTTCTGTCCGCAGCGTTAGAAGCATCTAAGATGGGCCCAATACACTAAATTAGCACAGTTTCTTCTGCCAGTTACATTAGTTGGTTATTAATAATTTCCTATATATTTCACTGAAGCGATCCCATTGTATATTCTAATCACATCTCCTGGTTGTATAATCCATATCTGCTATTTTCATCCTCCTGGGATAATCACCAACTGTATTCAAGAGCCAATTAGATTAAGAAAAAAAACAACAACAACTTAAAATTATCATACCATAAATAGGAACCAATGTCAACCCACACCTATGGAATTAAGGAGGGGGGGGAGAGGAAAAGCCAAATCAACAAACCACCCAATCTTTACTGAAGGAAAAACATGCTGTAGAAGGGGGGGGGGGGCGGGAAAGAAAAGTCCATCAGCAGAATATAATTATCTGGGTAGATGTGCGTAATAAACTCATCCCCAAACAAATGAAAAGTTAATTAGTCAAATATATGCAGCCATATGAATTAGACATCCGTCTTCGGTGCCATAAAACCTTCAGAGGGAAATTAACTAACTCCCTAATATTTGCTGAGCTTGAACAGGGTAAAGGCTCAGCTTAGCTGCTGGTGGTTTTTCGGCTAGCCTTACGGTTAAGTCCGAACACACCTTTCGCCAGGTAAAACTGCAGGTGTGGGTTTTTTGGCCTCTTTTAGACCACCAATTGGGGTTCTCGTGGAACAACCAAGATTATGGCAAGAGGTAGTTACGCCAGCTCAAAGCAAAGGATTGCTTTTAAGGGAGGGCAGACCCAGATCTTGGCATCCTGAAAACCTGGAAACACGTTTGGTGGGCAAGCAAGCAAGCAAACAAACAAGCCGGTAGATGCCGTTAGCACATCAGAGTCGAGCAAAGAAAGGAGGAAACAGGGTCGGTCTTAATAATGGAGAATAATTGTAGCTCAGGGTGGAGATGAAGCGTCCTTGGTGCTCTCTGAGCTTGGTGGCTTTCTTGCAGATGTTTCATGACCCAACTAAGGAACACCATCAGTACTAAAAGGGAGTGGGCATTGTGGAGAAGAGGAGGACGACTCTGGGGGTCTTTAGTGCTCTCTGAACTTGGTAGTTTTTGTGCAGATGTTTCGTGACCCAGCTAGGGGACACCATCAGTGCTAGAAGGGAGTGGGGTTTGGGGGGGGAAGAGAGGAAGAGGAGGAGGACTGTGGGGTCCTTGGTGCTCTCTGAGTTTGGTTGTTTTCTTGCAGACGTTCCCTTACCCAGCTAGGTAACATCATCAGTGGTAGAAGGGAGTGAAGTTTGTGGAAAGAGGAAGAGGAGGAGGAGGAGGAGGAGGAAGACGACTATGGGTCTTTGGTGCTCTCTGAATTTGATTGTTTTCTTGCAGACATTTCCTTACCCAACTAGGTAACATCATCAGTGCTAGAAGGGAATGAAGTTTGTGGAAAGAGGAGGAGGAGGTGGTGGTGGTAGTGATGGAGGAGGAGGAGGAGGAGGAGGAGGAGGAAGACTATGGGTCTTTGGTGCTATCTGAGTTTGGTTGTTTTCTTGCAGACATTCCCTTACCCAACTAGGTAACATCATCAGGCTAGAAGGGAGTGGGGTTTGTGGTGATGATGGTGGAGAAGGAGGAGGACTGTGAGGTCTTTGATGCTGTCTGACCTCGGTTTGCTTGGTGACATTTCATTACCCAAACTAGGTAGCATCATCTTCCTTCCTTCCTTCCTTCCTTCCTTCCTTCCTTCCTT